ACTAGATGAATACTAGATGAATACTAGCTGAATACAATACTATACTAGTTAAATACTAGATGAATACTAGATGAATACTAGATGAATACTAGATGAATACTAGTTGAATACTAGATCAATACTAGATCAATACTAGATCAATACTAGATGAATACTAGTTGAATACCAGATGAATACCAGATGAATACTAGTTGAATACTAGTTGAATACTAGATGAATACTAGTTGAATACTAGATGAATACCAGATGAATACCAGATGAATACTATTTAAATACTAGATGAGTACTAGATGAATACTAGATCAATACTAGATCAATACTAGATCAATGCTAGATCAATACTAGATCAATACTAGATCAATACAAGATCAATACTAGATCAATACTAGATGAATACTAGTTGAGTACTAGATGAATACCAAATGAATACTAGTTGAATACTAGATGAATACCAGTTGAATACTAGTTGAATACTGGATGAATACCAAATGAATACTAGATGAATACTAGATGAATACTAGATCAATAGTAGATCAATACTAGATCAATACTAAATGAATACTAGATCAATACTAGATAAATATTGGATGAATACTAGATGAATACTAGTTGACTACTAGATCAATACTAGATCAATACTAGATCAATACTAGATCAATACTAGATAATACTAGATGATTACTAGATGAATACTAGATGAATACTGAATGAATACTGGATGAATACTGGATGAATACTAGTTGAATACTAGATGAATACCAGAGGAATACTAGTTGAATACTAGATGAATACTAGATGAATACTAGTTGAATACTATATGAATGCTAGATGAATACTAGATGAATACTATATGAATACAAGTTGAGTACTATATGAATACTAGATGAATACTTGATGAATACTCGTTGAAACTAGATGAATACTAGTTGAATACTAGATGAATACTACATGAATACTAGATGAATACTACATGAATACTAGTTGAATACTAGATGAATACTGGATGAATACTAGATCAATACTAGATCAATACTAGATCAATACAAGTTGAATACTAGTTGAAACTAGATGAATACCAGATGAATACTAGATCAATACTAGATCAATACTAGATCAATACTAGATCAATACTAGATCAATGCCAGATGAATACCAGATGAATACTAGTTGAATACTAGATGAATACCAGATGAATACTAGATGAATTGTAGATGAATACTAGATGAATACTGGATGAATATTGGATGAATACTAGATGAATACTAGATCAACACTAGATGAATACTAGATCACTACTAGTTGAATAGTAGATGAATACCAGATGAACACTAGATCAATACTAGTTGAATACTAGATGAATACTAGATGAATACCAGATGAATACTAGATGAATACTAGATGAATGCTAGATTAATACTAGATGAATACTGGATGAATACTAGATGAATACTAGATGAATACTAGATGAATACAATACTATACTAGATGAATACTAGATGAATACTAGATGAATACTAGATGAATACTAGTTGAATACCAGATGAATACCAGATGAATACTAGTTGAATACTAGTTGAATACTAGATGAATACTAGATGAATACTAGATGAATACCAGATGAATACCAGATGAATACTATTTAAATACTAGATGAATACTATATGAATACTAGACCAAAACTAGATCAATACTAGATGAATGCCAGATGAATACTAGTTGAATACTGGATGAATACTTAAGATGAATACTATTTGCATACTATTTGAATCCTAGTTGAATACCAAATGTATACTAGATGAATACTAGTTGAATGCTAGATGAATACTTCACAGGAGGTATGTTCGTGAAAACAAGACAAGGTACCAATTGGACATATTGGCTACGTATATATTGTGTTATTTTGCATATATTCATAATTGTAATAGTAATATCGTTTAACTGAATGTGAATTTTTAATTCTGCAA